TTTTTTTTTCTTTTGGTATTCTTAGTAGAGACGGGGTTTCCCCATGTTGGCCAGGCTAGTCTCGAACTCTTGACCTCGTGATCCGCTTGCCTCGGCCTCCCAAAGTGCTGGAATTACAGGCGTGAGCCACCGGGCCCAGCCACTACCCTACGTTTTATTATAATTGCATATAAATATGCCTTCCCTTTAAGAGCAGGGACTGTCTCTCCATTGCATGGCCTGGCACAGTGTCCAGCACACAGTAGACAACGCAAGAGTTATTACGTGAACCAGTATCATCATCCAAACAATGGCTACCGTTTCCAGAGCACCTACCATGAGCTATTTTACCTACATTATCCTGCAGGCTTTCCCAGACTACCCGATCCAAAGCAGCCCCCCCAGTCACCCTCTAGGCACATAACCCTATTTTAGTTGTCTGAATAGGACATATTTTGGTTTCTGTGCTTATTGTCTGTCACCGGTTTCCCCTCACAAGAAGGAAAGCTCCAAGAGAACAGGCATCTTAGCTACCTTGTGCTTGGCTCATAGGAAAGAAATGAATCTAAGCCTCCCACTTCCCTCCGTAACAGAGTTGACTTGCACACCGTAGGTCTCAATACGTTATGTTTTAAATTTTATATTTAGATTTCGAAATAATTGTGTTGAATATTTTATGGTTCATAACAAATGGAAAGGGGGGTGGAATAAAGAATAAATATAAGTTTGGTTACATTACCCTAGCACTGACATTGGTACGGGAATTTTTGCTGCAATAAGAAAGCCACTTCCTCTGACATAAGGTCACCCACACTTCCTCTTAGTTTGTCGTGGCTGGGCTGCCACATCCTCTTAGCTCATCATGGCTGGGCTGGCTGGGGCGGTCAGGACTCCAGACGCTCGCACTAAAAGAGGGGTGGGAGTTCAGGAGTCACTCCACTCCTGTAGGGAGCTGACCACGAGTGGGTGCGCAGGAACGTGTGCCCGGATCCGTGCAGTGCCTAGGGCCGCTGTACGAAGCCGCCTCAGCGTGCTCGCCCGGGCGACTCTCCCTGTTGGGGCTCTGCTTCCTGCTGCGTTCCTCTTCCTTCTACCCCTAAAGCGCGCATGCCCTGCAGTCAAACCTGGCGCACCCTCAAGCCTCCAGGGGGCGACGTGACCGAGCCCCGCATCACGTGTGCGGAAACGGCCTATAGTGCCCGAAGGATGCCACCAGGACGGAGGCCCGGCTGCGCCACGGACGGTAGCGGCTTTTGTCCAGCTCTTGCGCCGCCTTGGCCCGACCCCGC